CGATGGCCTCTAAATCTGTCAGCTCGACAATTGTCTCTTCGTTCATAGTCACTGCAATTTGCTCGCTTCACCTTCCTTCGGTTTCTTTTCACTTGTCACTTTTATGTGACTATATGCAAAACCTTCGGGCGCTTAAATACCTTAATATATAAGAAAACGTTTTTTTCTACACGCGCTTAGCTTTCACGTGTAGTCAACAAAACTTTAAAGAGAATCCTTTATAGGATTTATCTTACGCATTATTCTTAAGACATCGTGGAAACTGACGCTCTCGCGCATCATATAATATTAAGTTTCTGTGTAATATACTAAATCATGGAACATTGTAGTTTTCATCTGACAGGGTCCATATTTTTACGAAATACATAAAGTCAATCTTTAAAAATAATAGTTTGTTTTCTGTGCTGTCGGTTAACAGTACGTTCGTTCACCCCATGACTGGGAATGGTAATCCGGTGTCAAAGCTCGCACATGGCAACACGTGTCTGACCAGCTTTCCCATTTTTTAAAATTTTTTTTTAACCAAAAAAAAATGGGAAAACAGAGTTGCATCACAATTTAAAATATTATGTTCCATGTTGACTTCGAATTTTCAGACCAACACGTATGACGTAGGTATTTTACCGTTGCAACAAGAACAATTAATTTACGCTTTAATGAACATCAACCAAAAGCCCTTGTAAATGAAATATAATGCTTTACTGATTTTATATGAACTTCTGAAGACATTAATATAGATTAAATTGTGTTGAAATACCTACATCTAACAATGCCACCACATCACTTCATTCCACTTCTATATAACGATTGATTTGCTGTTTGTAGTCCGACATTTTCATCATTCAACAGTGAATCCAATTACTATTGAGGGTGAGTTGGTTGTTTTGCAACGGCTGATTGCACCAAGTCTGTGGTCAATTTTCCTTAGTGCCATTTCGTTTAAAAACTCGTTTACATTACATATGCATTGAAGTTAAAGCTCTTAGGAAAGCAAAGCTAACATAGGAAGAATTTGTTTGTAAATTGAGAATTCCTGTTAAACTTCAATGTAGTGTTTTCTGAAAGAATACAATGTTTTACGTAAATGCAAATACAAAGGTGTGAGTAGAACTTCTGATGTTTTACGTAGAATAAAACAAAGAAAAAATAACAATAAGGTGATTAAGGAAAAGTAAAATTTTTTTACCTTGAGATATATCCGATGTAATTAAACTATATTATTCAAAAGGTCACCATGACCACTTTCAGGAGCGACATCGACTAACTTTATTACGAAGAACTTTGCTCGGTACGCCGGGCTTGATTTCACCAATATGGAGGTAAAAATTCGTTTTTAATACATAATTAGAGCCTGGTTTATTGTAGCAGTCCAATATCCACTTTGCCGATTGTTCGATGATGATTTTCTTAAAGAACTTAACATGAAGTCAAAATATGAATATGATATGATATGATTTCGATAAAAATTTTGGATTAT